GGTCTAAAATTTTAATTTGCCCATTTCTCCATGAATTCGAATTGGAAAATTGGAGAACTCTCCCTGCTCGAGATTGGAGARCGGGAAAGAATGGCTGCTAATGCCTGAAACCTCAGAGAGTGAACGTGATGTTTTTCATAAAGCAAAGGAAATCAAGAACAGTTTGAGAAATCATTTTTAGGAGGTTGATAGACTTTAAATAAAGTCCGCGACTGTAATTTGCACAGTCACTTCATTAAACCTAATTCCTCCGCGGTATACTTTTGCTGCTGGGTGAAAATCGATTAGCGGCTCTATAATGACCACCAAATTCCATCTTTACAAGACCTAATTAAGAACAAACTTTACACCTAACGTATTTTAAACTTGCCAAATCTCCAACTATATAGAAAAAAAAAAAAATTAGAAAAAAGGGGATTTTAATAGCGTCCCAAAGGTTCACCACTCAAACCCGCTGCCCCGGAGCAGCGACGGCGGAATTTCTGGTGCGGGGATTTTTGCGGAGAGGCCGCAAGTGCTCGCTGGGTAATTGAGTGTTGATTTTCGTGGGATAACATAAATCGGTCTAGCCTCTTTTATCGACCTTTTCGCTTAAATTCCCTCCGTTTCAGCGCGGGACAGTCTGAAAACCGTTCTCCGCGGGGAAATAAATGCGGCCAAGGGTAGAAAAAAAGAGGCTTCGGTCTCTTTTTTCCAGATCTTTTCCGTGCAGAAGGGGATGAGAATTCCTTTCCAGGCGCGGGACGCGTCCTAAGGAGGGGGTGAGGAGGGAATTTGGTGGGATGTCCCCGTTTCATTCCTCTCCTCGGGGTTTTGTCGCCTTGGGTGCCAATYTGTGTACAAAATGTGGCCTTTGGGAGTGCCTGGGAGGCAGCGCTTCTTGTTTCCCCGTTTTGGAGGAATCCCTGACCCCCTAGGCGCCGTTTTACAGCCGTGCCCAAACTCTTGGGTGATGATTTTGGCGAGACCGCTTCTCCCCGAGAGACCTCCCCTCCCTCCGGGGCCGCATTTTCCTGGGACAAGCGAGGTGGCAGCCTGGGAGGGTGAGAAAAGCAAAGGGAAAAATGCCCCAGGTTTGTAAAAAACACCTCCCGAGCATCCGAGTTATTTATTCGAGCCACGAATCTTGTCGCCAGAGYTAAAGCGCTCTTTTCCCACTCATTTAAAAGGGGGATAAACCTGGATTTTTATCATGTGCGGGTTCAATCGTGAAGTTGTGCAAAGGAATTGGGGATTCCAGCGGCTCTCAGCTTCTCTCCCCTCATTCGGAGGAGGCAGAGCTGGACCGGGGACTCCGGGAAATCTCCCCCGAGCCCTCCGCATCCTCCCCCGGCACTGAACTCTCACTGAGAGAGGCGAGAAAAAGAGGAGGAAAAAGAGGAGGAGGAGGAGGGTGGCGGGACGCCTCTCGTCCCCTTGGCAGGTTCGGTTTCAGAGGGCAGCAAAACAATGGGCTCGGATGTCCTCTGGGTATTTATAGATCTAACCTGAGCACAGGAAAGGTCACGGGGCCCCAGGCGTTGC